ATAATTATTTAAAATATAAAATTTTAATTTTTAAATAATTTTAATTAATATTTTATATATTTTTATTAACTTTAGTTAATATTTATATATTTTTAGGATAATAAAATTCAAAAAAAATTATAACAGTAGTTTACAACACAATATGCATATATATATATAGAGAGAGAGAGAGAGAGTACAATACAATTCAAATAAAGTTTAATAACGCTCTAATGGGTTCTCTTACTTTTTTTGGAGACTACTTTATTAGGAGACCCTTATTAGAGGAAGTGTCTTATAGGAGAATGTTTCTCCTTCTAACAGCTTGTTAAATTTACCTTTTTTCCTTGACATGGGATGTAGGGTTAAGAAATTTTTGTTTCTTTTGTTTGATTTTGTGAGTTAAAAATAATAATATTAGTATAATTTTTGAAAAGTGTTTTGTGATTTTTTTAACATTAAATTAGAGAATCTCTTAAAAGTAGATTGAATAAAATCATAAGTGTAGAGAATAGGTGGCGTTTAGAGAGATGCATTAAGAGACTCCCATTGTATATTTTTTAAATGGCTAAGTTTAATATTTGGACGTATTGTCACTTAATTTAAAAATAAACTAGTTTACTAACAAAATTCTTCAATTTAGTATTCAAATCTTGAGGGCAACACTAAATTTTTTTTTAATTTCTTTGAATATATCAGATCGATGTAAGAAGTAGACTTTTAAAATTACCTAAAAAGATTTTATTTTGAAACACATGTTAAATAATCCTATCCATCCGAATAAAAAGGAAAATTCTATGTTAAAAGGGAATATATATGCACATAATAAAGGCAAATTGAGTTCAATTAAGATGTACAACTCAAACCAAAATTTCATAACTTAATAACTTCTCAAATCTTGATATTTTTACATTCAAATTTAAATTATTAATAATAATTGTTCTCAATATTTATAAACCATTTACAATCCTTCTTAAATTCTGATACTAGACATTGGGGAAAGGGTCATAGCTAGTGACCTTTTCAATCTTCAAACCATTATTCTAAACAATTCAAATGTTTTTTTTTTTTTTTTGGGGGGGGGGAGGGGGGGAATAGTCTATTTATCAAAGTTTCAAATAAATTTTAAAAACTAATATAAAAACATGAAATCAATTATTTAAGTGGATCATCATAATCTCCCTTTTTCCTTTTTTCTTTTTGTTGGTAAGACCATGATAATCTCCTTCCCGTAAGAACAATCTTTCTAAAAGTTCAATCACACAGCAATTACCTATTTGCAATTCATAAGAGGGTTAAGTTTAAATTGTATGCATTTAGGTTAGCAAATAAATTATAAATGGGTAAGAGATGTTGATTGTTTTTTATTGTATAATTTAAATAAAATAAAATAATATAATATAAATATTAAATTTTATTTAGTTTAAGGAAAAAAAAAACATGAAGGGGACGGAACCTTTCTTTTCCCTCCACTCACCTCCCATTTTCTTCAAATTTTTTATTTAAATAAAAAAATTTCTTCCCCTTAAATCAAACAAATTATAAATCCTACTCTAGACCTATACCATTTTTACCTAAGGGCATGTTCGATCACAATGAACATGAAAATTTCTTTTGAGGGAGCAATGATAATTAGCTTGGTTCAAGATTGAAAAAATCTATCACTAAAATAAAAGCATTATATGGTTGAGTATACTCTAGTGGTGTGATTATAATCACTCAAAATTTTATTAAAGTCACACAAATTTATTAATATTATCTTAAAAAATGTTGATTTTGTTTAATTTAATTATTAGAAATAATTTGTATTTATTACTTAACAAATTCAAATTAACTTACAAACTAATGTTTTCAAACATTATAACTAGTTATTTAAAAAAACTATAAAAAAAAATCAGTCAAACTATTTTTATAATTTTTATTTATTTTTATATATTATTAAATGAATAAATATATATAATATCATAAATCTTAATAAAATTAAACAAAATCAATCATTAAATAACTTATAAAATTATATATATAAATTATTGCTAAATCATTTTTAATTTTAATTTTACCATTAGATTATACCTCTTGAACACAGAAAAGAATATTCAAGGAGCAAAAGTTGTAAACACGACTTTCCAAAAATTTAAAGTTCCATGTGATCCAAACATGACCTAAGTGAAAATTCATTTTAGGCAGGAAACGCCTCTTGGCATAATATTAGGCTATCAAATCGTAGAGGGCTTGTTTAGTCCAAGTCTTACTTTTTTTCTTTTTGGTGAAAGTATTGTTAAAAAGTTTTAAAAGTATTGGGTGAAACATTCACAACTTTAATTTATAATGAAGTGTTGTTAAGTGTTAACTACACACTTTTTTTTTTTTTTTTGATAACAAGTTGAAATTAAGAAAATTGTCAAATGAAGCAGTTGAATAAGTCAGATAGTTCACTATCAAATTTAAAAACTTGAGTTTAGGTGATAAGTTATTGGGAATTCAATTCTTACTAATTACTTTCCAATGACTTGTAAACTTATGATTCTTCTCTCAAATTTCCCATGTTAAAAAAATTGTCAAATAAGAGCCAATAAGAAAAGTTTAGGAAAGTAGTTAGTGAGAAGCTGAGAACACCTTTTATAGTACCACACAACTTGGACTTGGAAATCATTCTCAATGTGTTTGTTTTAGCTCTTAGGGCACTTTCTTAAGAAAATGGTCATGCCATACATCATGTTATAGAAGGCACAAAGCAATGTTTAAATGTTGGAATATTATTTATCATTTAAGCAATGCTTAAATATCACCTATTAAGTGTTTTAGGCATTTTTATTTTTATAATAAAAAAAGGTCAAAATAAAATAAAAGATCTAAAATATAAAAGAAATGCCTAACTCCATTACCTAGGGTCTAAGCAAGGTAGTGGAGCACCACTTATCCCATCGGCACCTGAATGTTGTCTAGTTGGGCTTTTTGCAACACTAACCAAACACGCCCTTAAATTTTAAACCCCTAAAAACCTGAGCTGAAATTTGTAACAGCCCGCGCTAAATCCCATTTGAAACCCCAAATAATTTTGAAGTTCCAAAGCCAAAGAGGAACACAACCAGAGTTTCCAATCTGGAAAGTGGAAACAAGCGAAGCTCCGGAGACATGGCGCAGGCCGCGCGACTCAATCTTCGAATGCAGAAGGAACTGAAGCTTCTCCTCACCGATCCCCCACCCGGCGCCTCCTTCCCCTTTCTCTCCCCGGACTCCGACCTACCTTCATTGTCTTCCATTGATGCCCGTAAGTAGCTTTATTCTCTTAATGCTCCGTTTGGATGCCGGTAAAATGTGGGAAGAAGATAACAAATACTTGAGATTTTCAGCGATTCATTACTCATGATATCGTTGTTTGTCAGAAATCGAAGGTGCGGAAGGGACAGTGTATGCTAAAGGGATCTTTAAAATTAAGATTCAGATACCTGATAGGTACTGTAGAATTCAGAATTTTTTGTCTCTTTATTCAAGTTCGTTGCGAAAATTGGTTTTGCGACGTAATTTTGTGTTTTTTTTGGACGGATTTTTTGATTTAGGTACCCGTTTCAGCCTCCAATAGTGACTTTTGCAACACCAATTTACCACCCAAACATCGACACTGGTGGCAGAATTTGCCTTGATATTCTCAATCTTCCCCCGAAGGTGATTCCCAGAAATGTTTGCTTAATTTGTCTGACTTTAGTATTTCAATTGATTAATGCCAGAAAGTCGTACTGATTTACGGGATCTTTCTGTATGCTTCTATATTTGCCTTCCAAGAATTCTAGCAATTTGTCTATGTGTCTCCTTTTTACTTAGTTTAATACAAACCAAATGCTTGATTTGGATTTGCTTCATAGATATTCCTTTTTCATACCCAATGATCCAAACTCATAAGAAAGTTAAAATAGGTTAAAACTCAACTCAAATTGGGTCTATTGCTTTGGTTTTGGCATTTGTTGCACTTTTGATATGTAATTTCATTTTATTCATGTGCTTGAATGGTTTGTCAAACTTACTTGATTGGCTATTGCTGAAGATTTTCTTCGAGGGTGTGTATTTCAAATATTTGGCCTTAAAAATGGCTTCGACATAATGCCTATAACAAGCTATTGGTTAGTTATGGAGTCAAGTGGTGTAAGTCATAAGTATTCATTAACTTCGGGATGTTCTCCCAAGGATGCGGGCAATAATTCCTAGGTCAATTAACGTCAAATGATTGAATTTTAATGGCCTTTGTGGTAGGAATGGGATGGAGAAATGATGGATATAATAAACCTTGGTGGAATAGAAAAATCGACAAGGGAAATACAGACACCAACTCAGTCTTGTATTTCCTGTGACTTTTGAGACACTAAATGTCAATCATAAATTGTTCAACAAAGTTGATTCATGTCTGTGTTCTTGAGATTTTGTGTTCATCTCTCTACAATTGGTTTAGCTAAACTTAACTTTGATTGGGAAACTTTGAGATCCGTATATGTATTTCTTCTGTCTCATTGTAATAATGTAATATCTGTTTCTTTAATAATGTCTGATTTATAACAAGGCAGGGGGCATGGCAACCATCACTGAATATTTCAACAGTGCTGACAAGTATTGGATTGTTACTTAGTGAACCAAATCCTGATGATGGCCTAATGTGTGAAGCGGTAAGTGTGCTTGGTCTCAATCAGTAAGGCTTGACTAATGATTAAAGAAGTTTTTTCCTTTCTTCTTAGCAGTCCTGTTTTTTCTTCTTCTTTTGGTTATCTTCCTCATTTCTCTAGATTTAATCTTCAGAGCAGGGAATACAAGTATAATAGACAAGCTTTTGACCATAAAGCTCGAGCTATGACTGAAAAGTATGCTAAGGCCGGAGATGGAGGCAGTTCTAGCAGCCAATGCATTCAAACTATGCCAAACCCAAGCATGGTATCAGCGTGAAATTAGCTTAATATTCTTTATCCCCTTCCTAGATCCTTATCTATATTGTGTTTGGTGGGCTGCAGGTGGAAGTTCAAGGAGTAGACATGGGGTCAAAACAGGACACTACTGGCTCTGCTTCTAGTGATGGAAAACAATCTGGTATTAGCCACAAGCTGTCATTTAAGTCTTTGAGCTCTACCAAAGGGAAAGAGGGTGATAGCAAGGAGAATGAGATGCCTGGCCACCGTATATCTTCTTCTGAATTAGAAAACCAGATGGAAATTAAAGGAAAAAGAAAAGAGGAAAATAGTGCACTCAACGAGTGTAATCTAAATTGTGTGAGGCCACATGGGATCAGGCGTAAGCTGTCTCTAGACACGTCTGGTCAGTTCAAGAAGAATGAAGATGATAACAAGGAAAACGTGGATCCAAATTGCTGTCAATCACTTTATCATTCCCAAAACAATTTTATTTCTCCTTTTGGGACATCAGAGCAGCAGGTCAGCAACAATCACGAACAACTTCGCCAGCATCAAGATGATAAATCAACACGTTATACTAGAAGTACTGGTTCAAAGCCATGCCAGATAACCCATAAAAAACCATTAAGATCATTTGACTCTTGCCAAATATCGGATGGTAGCAAGAAGAAATTGCTTGAAACCACTAAACCGTTTTCCTCTAAGTCATACTCTCTCACAGCAGATGATGTCTCACCAATTCCTCTACCTGTTAGGCATGGTGAAGTGCAGCCTTCTGAGGATTTCAGCGACAGAACTGGAAATACCCCTGCCCATACAAAGATTGACAAGCATACTTTATTAGGAAAGAAGCTTTCCCTGGGTTTTAAGGGTTCATCACAGAAACAAGATAACAACAAAGAGAATGTGGTGCCAGTTAATCAGTTGCCACTTTCAAAACCCCACAGTCCTTTCAGAAAGAGTGGCTTAGGCTGCAAGTTGTCTCTTCGTACACTAAGCCAGCTGCAAGGGAGCAAGGAAGATCACAGACAATCTGAAAACTTCTTCACAAATGCATCTGAATCCTTGCCTGTGCCACAGGATAGCAGATATGATTGGGAGCAACAGCCTAATCAAGATGAAAGTATGAAAACTGAGAGGGAAATCATCCAGGAACATGGAGCAGAAGAAACAGAAGGACCACCATTATCAGAAACGATTATTGTGCTGGATAGTGAAGATAGTGAGGAGGAAGGACAGGTCTCCTCCAGGCAAAGGTTATCACTAGCAAGAAAGCGCATTGGCAAGACTATAGCCAAAGCTTGAGCATTTGTTATTTCCAGTTCTGCTGTTGTATTTGGGACTTTCCTGCTGAATTTGGGCTTCTTTGTTCTGTTAGCCAGGGAAGTTGATGAAGCTTTTTTTTTGTACATCTCCAGCGAGAATGAGTATAACATTCTAGCATTCAGAGATGTAGCTGCCTGGTTGTGAATAGAACAGTTTCAATTAATTGCAACTTGGTGCTCTTTTGGTATGTTGGTTTGAGTTTTGTGGTTATGACATTGTCTTGAGTCACCAAGTTTGGGCATTGATTAGACTTATGAATTGTTGCATGATGGGTGCACTTTTGTAATATTGGTTGGAGTACTTTTTGATAAAAAATAAAAAAAAAATTGCATAACAAGATTTACTGCCATGTACTCCCATAATAATATAAATTTCGATAAAAAAAACAAATTTACGTAACAATATTTATTGCCATGTTAAAATTTTATTGATAAAAAATTTTGGTTGATAAATTTTGCATGTGGGTTGGAGTATTTTCATGGGCTTAGAAAATGAGTGAATTCTATTCAATTTCTCAATATTTGGAAGTTACATTGAATTCAATTAATTTTAAGTTAAGTTGCATTGGATCCCATAAAAAGAAAACTCTCATAATGTTTCTATTCATAAAACTTAAATTCAAGATCTTATTTAAGAAAAACTGAATATTTTTCACTCAACTAATAGGTTGTTGGTTCTATTCCTACCTTATTAGTTTGTGAAATTTCATATATAATTGTTTCCTAAAAAAATCCTCAAATGGCTTCGCATGGGGCAAATTTGGATGCAAGCGTGCCATTTGTTTTGCTGTAAAGCAAGAAAGAAGGATTTTCCAACAACCTTCTTATTCCTCGCAATCGACCTTTTTGAGGATGGTTGGAAGAATGTTGGTTTAAAATTGAAATCTACACCTTCAAATGATTTTCAAGAGGGAGGGATACTTTTTGGCAGAATGGATTGCTAAATTTGCCTTGGATAGCTTTAAGAACTTAAATACTACTATGAATTAAACTTAACAGATCTTAAATGAACTAAATGTCATGCAAAATTAAAACAAACTTGCAAATAAAAGATGCATCCAAATTAAACTAAGTATATTCAATGTCGAATTAAACAACTATCTATAGATAGATATGAAAATTAAATTACTGTAGAACTTGAGATTTAATCCTAAATAATCATGAATCTAATATGAACAAAGGTTAAACTAATATGCCAAAAATTAAGAAAAAGTGTGAACGTCATATAAGTAATCATTTAGAGAAATGTTATTTATCATAAACTTTAAACTAATACTAGTTAGAAAAAGAATAATATTTTGCGAAAATTGAAAAGTTTGATGCTTATTACATGAAAGGAAATTGTAGAAGCAACTACACGAACTAATTTGGCTATTTAAATGCTGAAATCAACCTAAATCTATTGGGATCTATACTAAAAACCAAAATCTATAAACTAAGTGAGCGATCATTATGAAACTAAAGAACTGAAAATTTGATGGGTTGTCTGTAGGGATGGCTGTGTATCGAATGATCAAAAAATTTCCTTTTGTTTGTCTCCTTCTCATTTGTAAGTTCCCACTACTAGGTGATTACACGAATGTGGGTGGTTTCTTGAAAAAGATGGACACCTCAACAGTTGACTAAGTTAGATCTCCATCTAGATTTTGCTTGTTATCTACCAGCTCACAACCTTAATTGAAACAAACTCCTAAAAACCAGTTGAAACAATTCCACCATGACTCAAATGGGCAACTAACAAATAAATCTCATCTTTTCAACCCCATCTTTTCTTTTTCTTTATTTTTTATTTTTATTTTTTATTTTGTGGCATTTGATATGTCAAGGGCCTCAGAACAACAAATCTGATGTAACTTAATCTTTTTCAACCATTTACAATAAATTGACATGTGGCATAATTTTAAGTTTTGCAATTTATGGTGTAAACAATAACATAATAAACATTTAGCATAACAAAATTTAATGACACTT